ACAAGGGTTAGTGCATGTGTTAAGGCTCTTATAATTGTCAAGCTAAAATGCGTTTAGTCTCTTCTACAGCATTTATTGTAAGTTGAATTGACTGTATACTTTCTAATTGTGTTTGTGTGTTGAAACCAGGCATGTTTGCTACGGGGGTCTATCAACCAGCTTTTGTCTTACTGCCCTGAAAAAGTTGGAATGTGCTGGAAGAAGTGAGTTAGACTTTAAGCAGAAGCAAGAGGGTAGTGGGCTTGATTATTGTTGGTATAACAGCTTTAAGTACATTGATTGCTAGCACCACTGCTTCTGCAATAGTTTTGAGACAAGAAGTTAAGACAGCTACTTTTGTTAATCATCTAGCAAAAAAATGTTACTAATGTGTTGCATTACACAAGAGGATTTAGATAGGTGTTTGGAACTATGGATTGATGCTCTATATCCTATTCAAATTATCAGAAGGAGGTTCAGGTTTAAGAGTTAGGAGCCATCTCAAGTGTCATGACAAATACCATTGGAGTGGTGTTACTTCTGAAATTTACAATGATAGTCATTATAATTAGAAAAAAGTTTAAAGACACGTGTAGGGTATTTGGCATAATTCTAACTCCTCTATGGATGCTTTAACTTTGCATAGTGAGATTACAAATTTAAAGAAAGCTGCTCTGTTGAGCTTTGATGCTGCAGATAATGCTGATAAAATTATCATGGCTTGAGATCAGTATTTCCATTTTGGTCAAACCTCAGGAATGACATATATAGCTTGATCAGGCTAGCCCCTTTTGTCCTGGGAATTCTTTTATTCCTGCCCATTGTGTTAAAGCTTGTCTCTAACTATATCAACAGGTCAGCAGCCAAAGTACATGACTTGAAACTGAAAATGGACCCTCAGACAGAGCTATTAATTTAACAGGCTGGCAAGCCAAGGACAGGTAAGATTCTGCACAGAGCCTTACCAACCTAAGACAGAAATGCATTGCTTTTGATAATGCATATTCCACGACAAGTAAGGAAGGCATTCTTGTCAGAACAACCTAAGACAGGCTTAGTCTGGTTCATGTAATAAAAAAGGGGGAGATGTGGAGAGCTTTTGTTGCTGCCTGGCAGGAATCTGACATTGGTCAAAGACAAAGACATGGGCTGGCTGGAAGGAATCTGACATAGGTCAAGGGCAAGGAAATGGAATGCAGGCAGGATTTTGACATTAGGCTAGAACAAAGAAGTAACCTCAGGCAGAAATCTAAATCCTAGGCTAGAACAAAGAAGTAATGAGAGGCAGGAGTCTAAAACTTAAGCTAGAACAAAGAAGTAGGCTTCAGGCATGAAAATGACTTTGGGCTAGGATAGGGAAGTCCTAGTAGGTTCAGATATTTTGATAATCCTGATAAGCCCTTAGAAATGTGATCACAGGATTCTGTTTATTGTCCTGTGTGTTCTTTGACTATCTGGGTGTATTGTCTTGCTTGTTCTTGACTATTAGCATCTATTGTATTGCTAGTTCCTCAACCTAGAACTGACCTTAATACTTGCATGTAATTTAAATGATATAAAAGCAAAAAATGAGGAGGAAGGATGGGATAGGGGATTAATGAGGGTGGGTTGAGGAAAGGGGATAACATCTGAAATGTAAATAAATAAAATATCAAATGAAAACAAACAAACAAAAAAACAAAGACATCAAGAATTTTGCAGGCAAATAGATGGATCTTGAGAATATCATTCTAAGTGAGGTAATCCAGTCCTAAAAGTACATCCATGGTATGTAGTCACTTATAAGTGGATATTAGTTATAAAATACAGGATACCAGGAACAGGTCAATGATTGGGAGAGAAAGTGAAGAAGAAAAAACAAGCAAACAAACAAAGAGCAAAGAAAGAAAGAAAGATAGAAAGATAGAAAGATAGAAAGATAGAAAGATAGAAAGATAGAAAGATGGATTGCATTAGCATTTCCATTTCTATGGTCTTCAAATAAAGAGTAAAACATGATGTTTTTATTGCAATAATATTGAATAATTGATTATTCCACAGAGAAAGATAAGGCCAAACAAACATTCGTTTCTTTGCCCATGTCAAGAATGTACCAAGAAACACACATCAGTGTAAAGTGTCCTTAAAATGAATTCATCATTAGTAAACACTTTACCATTAATATTTTGAGATGTTACATGATATCAGCCAAATATGTTTGTGTTCATTTGTATTTCTGTGTTTGTTCGTATTTGTGAAAGAAGAAAGGGTGAGGAAAAGAGAGAGGGAGGGGAAGAGGGAGGAAGGCAGGGAAAGAAACAAGTAAAACTGAACTCAGTATACCTTGTGTTTCTCCATACTCTCTGCCTCCAGTGTAGCCACCTTCCTTGGGGATTCATTCATAGGCCCGTGAGCACCATACTACTCTTCTCTCATTCAAATGGGATAATGGTACTGAAAGTGTGTGGGGAGATTACAATTCTTCAGAAATGTGATGAGATTGTATACTCATATACTAGGGTTGCTTCATATTAGCTCATTTGAAAAAAACGTTCAATTTTTAGTCATTTTGAGTTGATGTTTCAAAACTGTTGTTATTAAACTTTCAATTAAGGAGACCTCTAAAAACCAAAACCAACCAACTAACCAACCAAACAAACAAAAAAACAAAAAAAGTAAATATTTCACCTCGGGAAGGGAGAGGCAGGCATATCTCTGAGTTCAAAGTTAGCCTGGTCCAGGACATCCAGGGCTATACAAAGAAACTCTGTCTCAAAAAACACAAACACAAACAAAAACAAAACAAACAAAAAAACCAACCAAGAATAAAAGTACATTTTTTTTTTATTCCTCCACCCCCCAAAAATAACCAGAGCAATAGGTTTGAGGACAGCATACATTTCACATGCAGAACTTGGAGGAGTCAAGCTGGAGCTGACCTGGGAGCCTCCTCCCTGAGGACCAGCTCTCATAAAGATGCTGCAGAAGCTGCCAAGGGAGAAAAGCAATTAATAGTCCTACCTGACTATAAAGCCTAGGGGCCACAACAGTGACCAGCATGGTAGATACATCCAATGGTTCCATAGCGGCCCTTACATCTTGGGCATAAACAACAGCAGCCTAATTAGACTTAAGGACCTCAGTAGGAGGGAATTCAGGCCTGGTACTGTAAACCACTATAAACCTGTGGCTAGTGAGGCCATGGACCTAGAGGAGAACCTACAGCTGCCACTTCTTAAGCTCATTCCAAAACCTTAACATTACACCCACAGATAAGTGTAGCTTCCATCTCTCATCAAAACACTTCTTTTTGTAGTAGATGGACACTGTCACAGAAATCCACAACTGGTCAAAATGCAGAGAACTGACTGTGGGGTGCCCAACCTCACCTGAGACATCTATAGTACAACCAATCATACCTAAGACTCAGAGAACATCACAGAAGAGGGGATGGAGAAATCATGAGAGCCAGAGGATCAGGACATGCGCTGTGAGACTGTGTCTTTTGTACACAACAGGGAAGCTTCATTCTCAAAACCTTCACAGTATGGCTGCCTAAACAAGACCCACACAACAACGACAGCAGCAGCTGACATGTCAGTGTGGAGGGGAAAAATCTCACCGTACTCCTCCTCTAGATAAAGAGCTACAGATAAATAATGGCTGATGAGAGATGAATACTATCTGCTCCAGGGACCTTCTCCCCGATAGGTTATCTAATCCCAAGTGGTCACTCCTAAACACAAACACATATGAGCAACACTAAGTAGACTCAGCAGGTTGTGGTTAAACACACACACACACACACACACACACACACACACACACACACAATGATAATTGATAATAGTTAAGGAAGAAGAGATCATGAACTTGAGATGGGCATAGGAGGAGCTGAAGAGGGAGGAAAGGGCCAGGTGAAATGATGTAATACAGTACCTATGTACGCAATTCACAGAAATATGTGCAAAAAAAGATAGTCACAAACTACCAGGTACGGGTGGCATGCACTTTTAATTCCTGCACCCAGAAAGCAGTAGCAGGTGGATCTCTCTTGAGGTCAGCCTGGTTTTATATAGCAAGTTCCAGGCAAGCTAAGGCTATATGGTGGGGGAAAAAAGGCATCACAAACTGAAATTTTTTTTTTTTTCATTTAATTCCACTCAATGAACCGGAATCCCTCAAAACTGATCCCAAACTGAAAAATTAAAAATCTTATTCCCATGAAATCGACGAAAGGTTTAATTGACCCTGGTGTCCTCTGCTTCAACATTAAGGATGCTGGGATAGAAGTGTTGCTGCATTGTGCCTTAAATGTTGCTTGTGCATGCTTAGCTTTCATTCCTGAGAGAGCCCAATTCCCTCTGTGATGTCTCCAATTGCTGATTGTTTAATCTTTGGGAAAACAGGTGGCAACTCCAAAGATGCTTGCTTATCCTCCTCAGTCCTGGGCAGCTGGAAGGTTGACAAGTAGACGCTGTAGCTAGCTGGCTTTTCTTGTGTATCAACACAATCTCTACCTTGATTTCCACAGAAGAAGCCATCTTCCAGGAGCAGTCTCTTGGGAGTTTCCTTTTGTTCAGCCGGCTGTAGTAGCAGGTAACTGTAGGAGGGGATGTTCCTCAGGGCTCAGACTCTTTCCAAGGAGTGGGG